CCGCCGGCCGCCGGGCTTTTGTGGAGCGAAAAATGACAGGCAGAGCCCAGACGAGCCTGGGGCGCTGCCTGGAGGGGTCAGCGCGGAGCAGGGTGGAGAGATGGAGGCGGGGCTCGCAATGGGGTTGAAAACACTCCTTTTTAGGTTTCTGAAATTGACAGCGGCAAAGGCAGGTCCCCGCGTCCGCGCGCGTCCTTTGGCGGGGGTTGGGGGGAGGGGGGCCGGGCAGGCATCTCCAGGAATTTACGGGAAATTTCCAAGTGACAGGCACCTGGGCGGTGGCGACGGCACCTCTCGGGCCTTGCAGGAGAGCCCAGAGTCATCTGGGGTGAGGCCTGTGTGAAGTCACTGGGTGTGGGCTTGGGGGCCGTTTTTCTCTGTCAAGCCCCAGAGCTGAGTAGACATTTAAAGAGCTCCTTCCCTGGTGGATTTACTCCCCTTTGGGGACGGACATGGCTGTTCCAGGTCTCCTCTTTCCCTAACCATTCTCGCCTGATGGGGACAGGTTTTGACACCTGCTCGGTGGAGCCCCTGCTGAAATGGGTGTGTGGGGGGAGGTGTCCCCCAGGCTTTTTCTTTGTCTGGCAAGAGGGCTCTGGACTCCCCTTGATCAGGCATCATCGCTCCCTACCTTTTGAAACATCTCCCGTTTCCTGCAGCTCTTGACTGGTTTTCAAAGAAGCAGTCAGGGGCAGCCTTCAGAAGTCTTCCTCAGCATTGTCCCCTGGCCACCGTTCTGGGCTTTCCTACCAAAGCCAGAGTGTGCCTCTCAGCCCCAGGTCTTTCATTCCATGCAGGCCTCCCCACAGCTGTCGCCGACGCCGGGGGTTTGTGCTGTACCTCGAGGTGGCATGTTAAATATTTAAGGGATTTCTGCGGGCAGAACTGGCATGAATAATACAGGGAAGAAGCCGGCACGCCTTGCCCCACCTCATGGCTCACCAAAGCCTGTCTTGCCTTCAGGGTGGTATTTTCTCTCCTAAAGTAGTGCTGTGATGTTCATATTTGCCAGTGGCTTCTGGGAGGGGCTCAGGTGGGTGGGAGAGTTTTAAGTCAGCCTGGCTGGAGGGCTCGCTTTCTATAGATACTATTGGCTGGGGAGTGTGAGCCTCTGATCTGGGGTCTATGTGACCATTTTCTATTTTATTCACACACACCCCAACTATACAAGGCAGTTGAGAGGGTGGAGAGGAAGGTATATATTTGGGAGGAGTCTCAGGGACTTGCTTTTACTTGCTAAAACAGCCACACTTCCCAGAGGTAGAGTTTCAGAGAACTTAAATGACTGAGAACTGCCCCTCAAGTCAGCCTAGGGCCCTCTCAAGTGAGAGTTTGTGGGATTCGGATTGTTATCCCCACCGTCCCCCCAATCCATAGAAACCCAACATGGAAGCATCAGTGGGGAATTATTAAAACCACTATAGTTTTCGGCTTTCGGCTCGGAGGAGGCTCAGGTGCAACTTTCTTCGGTCGTCCCGAATCCGGGTTCATCCGACACCAGCCACCTCCACCATGCCGCGGAAAGCTCGACCCCAACGAGATCAAAGTCGTGTACCTAAGGTGCACCAGCGGGGAAGTGGGTGCCACGTCTGCCCTGGCCCCCAAGATCAGCCCCCTGGGCCTGTCTCCAAAAAAGGTTGATGACATCGCCAAAGCAACCAGTGATTGGAAGGGTCTGAGGATTACAGTGAAACTGACCATTCAGAACAGAAAGGCCCAGATTGAGGTAGTGCCTTCTGCCTCTGCCCTGACCATCAAAGCCCTCAAAGAACCGCCAAGAGATAGGAAGAAGCAAAAGAACGTTAAGCAGTGGAAATATCATATTTGATGAGATTGTCAACATTGCCCAACAGATGCGGCACCGATCTTTAGCTAGAGAACTCTCTGGAACCATTAAAGAGATCCTAGGGACTGCCCAGTCTGTGGGCTGCAATGTTGATGGCCGCCACCCTCATGACATCATAGATGACATCAACAGTGGTGCAGTGGAATGCCCAGCTAGTTAAGAACTACAAAGGAGAATGTTTCTATTAAAGTTCATTTGACAACCAAAAAATAAATAAATAAATAAATAAATAAATAATAAAACCGCTATAGCCCTGGCTGCTGTTGCTCCCTGGTTAGAGCGTCGGCACACGTGCAGAAGGGTTTTGGGTTCGATTCCCAGTGAAGGGCACATACCTGGGTTGCAGGTTCATCGGGAGGCAACTGATCCATTATCTTTCACATTGATGTTTCTTGCTCTTTCTCTCTCTCTTTCCCCCTCCCTTCCACTCTCTCTAAAAATCAATGGAAAAAAATATCTTCACTGAGGATTAACAAGAACAAAAGACTTTAATAAGCAGTAGCTGTTTCTCGTAAATAATACCTGTTCATAATAGGAAAATTAGGAAATAACACAAAGATAGCTAATGATGATTTTGAGAGGTATATTCTCCAAGATGTTTTTCCCATATGCACGTTTATATTTATGATTGATGGAAATTATGGACTCAGCCTAAATTCCATATTCCTCTTAGCAAGGCGTAGGGATACTGCTTTAAGAGTCACAAAACCCTTGGTTCAAATCCCAGTTCTGCTTCGTGCCAACAAATCACAGTTCACAAGAGATCCTAGTTCACAGGCTAGTTCACTTCATGTTTCTGCGCAGATATTTCAATGACACAACATATATATAAATTGCCAAGCACCAGGAAGAACAGTAAATCAATCATGATTTCTTCTTCTGTCCGGTACCTGAGAGGGTGTAAGAGTTCCGGAAGAGGCTCTTAGACTTAATCTACCCCAGTGGTTTTTAAACTGGCTTCCCTGAGGGCCACCCTGCTCTGGGCTCCCCAGCCCTGAGTCACCATAAGCAACTCCCCTTTTCTTTTATATATTGGGCTTCTAGATAAAATAGAATTTGCAGAATATATGGTTTTACTACTAATAAAACTTCCTACTCCTGCCATCCCCTCTCTGTAAAACTGCAGAGGGAATGTGCCTTGCCCAAGGACACGAGGTGAGCTGGTAAAGAACAGGCTCTGAAGTTTTGGTCCGGTACCCTCTCCACTTCTGCCTGGCCTTGACAGTAGCCCTAAATTGATCTCTTTCAAGCTCCCAAGACCTCTGGTATGGAGCCCTATGATTTTTGTTCACAAGTCCCATTTTCTGTAAGCAACTTTTTCATGGTTTTATAAGCCTCTGCTCCATCAAAGAACATTTAAGGAAGACCTAGCACTGTGTTCTGAGGATGGAGAGGAGTGTCATCCTTCTAACCAGAGGCCTCAAGACTAGATGGCATCCAGGGACAGCCATTTGGTGTTGTGGGTGTCTGTGTCGTCATTGGCTGTGAGTGTTTTTAGGTCAGTGATTGTTGCTCATTTCCCTCTCGTCCCTTCGCCCCCTTACAAGGCTCTTTTTTGAAGCACCTAGCACCTGAGTGCACTCGGTGAAGGTTGATTGTGTTGAAGGAAATCAGAGGTCCTGGGATAAGCAGAGGAGTCAGCCAGTGTTATCCTCAGGAGATGGAAGTCAGCAAGCATCAGGACAGGCTTGTGCCCACTGGGCAAAGATCTTGGAGCGAAGACCAGTGTAAGATGCTGCTTTCTTGCCAGCTGTCTTCCTCATAATGCCCTTGGCTCAGCCTAGAAAGAATTAAGGAAGAGATAGTGCACTGGCAAGGTTAGCCTTGTTAGAACCTGGTTGATATCTGCATGGAACATGGAAGCTCGTTTAGGACTGGGCTGCTTGCCTTCTTTAAAATACTTTGTTACCCTGGCCAGTATGGCTAAGTGGTAGAGCATTGGCCTGCACGCCGTAGGGTCTCGGTTCAATTCCTGGTCAGGGGTACGTACCTAGGTTGCAGGTTCGATCCTTGGTCCTGATCGGGGCACTTGCGGGAGGCAACCAGTCAATGTGTCTCTCTCACATTGCTGTCTCTCTCTTTCCCCTCAACCCCACCCCACCCCTTCCACTCTCTCTAAAAATCAATGGGGGAAAAAATCCTTACATACACACACATGCACACACAAAATACAAACAATTCAAGACCGAGGCAGGAATGAATTTCAACTGGGAAGAGTATGTTCATGTGCACTGGCAGGGCACGCAGAGGTTGCCCTGTGCCGTCTTGGGAGAATGCTCTGTTTTAAAGCAGTTATTCCAAGGAGCAGGTGTTGCCTCATTGTCTCTGGACAGAATTTTGGCCAAGGCCCAGAATGCTAGATCAGAGCATCCCACCACTGCTGGGGTTAGTAGACAAAAACTCCAGTTCACTACCTGGGGGAAAAGAGAGTCCTACTTCAACAGCTTTTCTAAATAACTGATAGCTGTGCAGAAAAAAACCTTATTTCCACATTGACATCTTTAAAAAAATGTTAGTTTTTAGAAAGTACAGTCTAATATTTAAAAGAATCTTAGTTTGGTGGATGAAGATCTGGCTAAGGGCTGGGACTAAGGTTGGAGCATGAAGTCTGTGTGCCCCGGATCAGCAATGTACAAGTAGAGGAGACTGGAAGGAATGTGGGTTGTCCTCAAGATGTTCCCCAACTATTGCAAAACAAGTGGGAAAGAAAAGAAAAGACCATAACTTCTTAAACATAAGCTTGCCTTTTCTTGGGGCCTGCTTTTGAAGAATGGAATGTAGAAAAATGATCCTGTTAATGGAGGGTTTGGGGTGGTTGAGGAGTTATTTCCTGGCCTGTGGTGTGGTACGGGGTAGGAGCTGGGTAAATGTTTGAGTTGATTTCTGAGAGGAAAGATGTTAGGCTGGAAGCATAGTTGGGTTCTGTCCCTAGCGCTGGTCTGACTCAACATCACAGTCCTAAGGCCAACCCGCCCTGGGGCCCAGCTCCCTGTGTGTGAGACCAGAGTGTTGGCCAGCATTACCTGGGAGGTCTTATTAAGACTATTAGTTTTGTGCTTTTAAAAATATATATCTTTATTGATTTCAGAGAGAGGAAAGGAGAGGGAGAGAGAGAGATAGAAACATTAATGATGAGAGTCATTGATCGAGCCCGCAACCCGGGCATGTGCCCTGACCGGGAATCGAACCCCGATTGCCTGGATCCTAGGTCAACGCTCAACCGCAGAGCCACCCCCGGCCGGGCAAGACTATTAGTTTTAAGAGCAGTGCTCCTGCTGGCCCCAGTGCATTGTTTTTGTTTGTAAGCAGGAGGAGTATCCTTAAGGAAATGAAAAATACCAGCTTGGATTTCCCTGCCCTCTCTGTGCTTAGGAATCTCGCCTACCTGCTGGGAAGTAGCCTTTGCATACTTCTTCCTGCTGTGTCTTATTTGAAGGTTAGCTGACAAGTGAGGGTCTCACCTGGTCGTTCCTGGCTCAGTGCTCCCCTTCCTGCTGGAATGAGGACTAGCTTCTTTGGGGTGTGTATCATTTGAAGGGAGGAAGAGCCCTGGGAAGAACAAGAGAAGGATGGCAGGCCCTCTGTGGCCACCTGGTGAGGCTGTCACTTTGCTGTGTACACGTGTGCTTGTGTGTTTTCTAAGGGGGTTCAAGAGGCTGGGGCAAGTGAAGACTTGGCCACGCAGTAGTCGCTGTATGTGGCACCTTTGGGATTTCACTGCCAAGGATGAGCCACATACATGTGCATCCGGTTACCAGGATTCTTGGTGTCTGTGGGAATTTTTCTGAGAACCAACAAGAGGTAAGGGGGTTTGCATTTGGTCTGGGAGGATGTTTTTTCACTCCTGGGCTATGGGAAGGCCCTGACGGAATGGAAGACAGATATATAGCTTGTTCTGAACTTGCACATCTCATCTGTCTTCACACAGAAGCACATTGTTTCCTCTTTAGGTTTTTTTCAGTCATACCCAGGGGCTTTCCTGAGATTATAGAGAAAAAGGAAATATAGATAAAGGACCAAATATCTGGCACACAATAAGGGCATCTGAAGGAATCTTGATGGGTAGTCTGGTGTAGGCCTTCATGCATGCGTGTGTACCTAGACCAGGGATGACAAGTGAGTTTCATCTCATGATTGAGAGGAGGCTGCTGGGACACCGTCCTGAGGATGGTAGGAAGCTGGGTTGGGCTCTGTAGAGGAGTCCCCCGAGCGATTTGTGTAGGCAAGATGGCCATGGGGGCACACGTGTTGGTTCAGTATTTGCTCTCCCAGGCTTAGCCTGCTCCTATCAGAGAAGATCTGTACTTCTGTCAGAGTTCTGCGCACTTCCCTAAATTGGTGAACAGAGAGCAGCATCCTTTCCCTGAGTTAGCATCTCCTCTTCACATTCGCCCCCACCAGGTCTTGTTCGTCACCTGGCAGGTCGTTCCTCCTTGATGCCAGTGTAGGGAGCTGTCCAGTCTAGGGTCTCTAGTCCGCCTCTTTTAGGACAGTCATGCATATACCACATCCCCCCTTTTTCCTTTGTCTTTCACCAGTCTCAGCTCAGTTAAATTCTTCCTTGGCTTTCTCTTGTGTAGTAATGCATTCACATCTTTCTTACCAACTTGTATGGGTTTGCAGATGGTACTTTGAGCTTCAGAACGAGTTTCCCATTTCCTTCTGGTAACATACCCCATCCTCCCTCCTGCCACTCAGCCAAAGGAGTGGGCATGTGACCCAGGCCTAGCTACACATTTCTCTGGGCACAGAGATTGGTCCAGAGGTGGACACGTGACCCAGACTGAGTCACTAGACCTTTCCCTAGGGTTTCGTGATTTGATGTTGGAGAGGATAGCTTTGCCTACAGAACCCAGAGCTGGGAAGATGTGACAGTGGGGCTGCTGGTGGCTAAACACCCTGGCACATGGAGAAGGCCTGTAGACAAAAGGGTTGAGTATGACAGAGCAGAGATAAACAGAGATGAGACATAGGCAGAGAGAGAAGGAAGCCGGCGTAAGTCTTGATTGTAGTTACTCAGGCCCCAGCTCCTGCCACTTCTCCTTTGATGCCTTGAGCTGTCCCATGTTCTAGAAGGAAATCCTTGAGTAGAGCTTGGATTATTAAATATGTGGTATAGTGGTGAGGATGGACTAGGTTATGCTGCAGTAACAACTCCCAGATCCCAGTGGCTGAAGACAGCAAAGGTTTATTTCTTGCTTTAC